CCCCCAGGTCCACTCTACTATGTAGCCTTCGCTCTGGACTCCCATCATGACAAAAATACCTAATCACATATCCCTTTTAAACAGTTTTCTCCCTCATCTGTTTCAATGCATTATACATTATTGAGCCCATCTTTCTCAGTCTTCCCCAGCCCCCGAGGTCAGTCCTGTTTTACAACAGTGGCACCATGCAGTATTTGTACTTTGTGACTGAAATATTTCACTCAGCATAATGTCCTCTAGGGTCACCCATTTTGAATAATATTGCATGAGTTCCTTGCTTTTTCAATGCAGTATAGTATTCCATTGTGTGACTATACCACAGTTTCTCTATCCATTCGTTTGCTGCTGGGCAATTGAGTTGTTTCCAACTCTTTGCTATTGTGAACAAGGCTGCAACAAACATGGGTGTGCATATATCTGCTTGGATGTCAGTTATGGTCTCTTTGGGGTATATTCCCAGTAGTGGAATTGTTGGGTTAAATGGTATCTCTATTTGCAAATTTTTGAGAAAGTGCCATACAGCCTTCCACAGTGGTTGCACCATTTTACACTCCCACCAACAGTGAATAAGGGTTCCAGTGTCTCCACAACCTTACCAGCATTTGTTGCTTGCTGTTCTGTTAAATTTTGCTATTCTTACTGGGGTGAGATGATATCTCATAGTTGTTTTGATTTGCATCTCTCTTAGAGCTAGGGATTTTGAACATTTCTTCATGTGTTTGCCATCTGAATGTTGCCTTCGGTGAAGTGTCTGTTCATATCCTGTGCCCATTTGGTGATTGGGTTGTTTTCCTTTATCTTGTTGTGGCACTTGGGTATTCAATAAATTCTAGATATAAGTCCCTTGTCAGACATATCATTTCCAAATATTTGTCCCCCATCTGTTACGTCCCTTTTTACCCTGTTGGAGAAGTTTTTGGATGTGCATAGGGATTTGATTCTTAGAAAGCCCCATTCATCTATTTTATCCTCTCCTGGTTGTAGGTGAAACGTCCTTTTCTATATTCCAGTTAAGAAAAGGTTGGTAGGAAGTGTCTGAAATTCCTTTACGCAGGATATATCCCTATATCCTTGACCAACTGATCAAGAAAAAAATGTAGTTAAGTCTATGTTATTGTTAGGTACCATCAAATCAACTACAACTCCTAGTGACCCGATGAACAACAGGTCTGAACCTTGTCCTGCCCTGCACCATCATCACAATCTCAGAAAATTTCAAGTCCATTGTTATAGTCACTTTATCAACCCATCTTGTTGAGAGCGTTCCTTTCATTCTCTGACCTTCCACTTTTCATATTGTTGTGGTTGTTGTGTACACTGGAGTAGGCACCGACTCACAGCTGACCCTCCAGAGGGTTTCAGAGGCAGTCTATATCCCACAGGAGCTGACTGCCTATCTTTTTCCCTTGAATCAGCTGATGAGTGAACAACAGCAGTTCTTTCTATGACGGTCATCATTGTTTAAGAAGGTCAGTAAAGCCCTTCTTAATTATTATATATAAATATTAATTGATGCTGATAATGTTATTATTTGCAATATTTGCTTAGCCTTGAATGACATGAGTATCCATGACGGTGTAAAAGATTGGTTAAATAGGGGAGCTCTGGTGGCCTAGTGGTAAGGAGCTGCAACTACAATCCCAGAGGCGCACGGTTCGAATCCACCAGATGCTCTGCCAGGAAAGGAGGGACAATCTCCTCCTGTACCAGTCAGATGTGATTTGACGGTACACTCACACAAAAATAATAAATTAAAAAAAAAAAAGATTGGTTAAATGGTTCCTTACTGACTCAAAGGCTGCTGGTGGTTAAAACTCTTTCAGAGAACTTCTAAAAGAAAAAAAAGTCCTGGTGATTGGCTTCCAAAAGGCCTTGAAAACTCTACTGAGCACACAGGGGTCCCCACAAATCAAAGCTGAATTGATAGCTACTAATATTTTAAAAAGAAAATTCATTTTGTTTTCTCAGTTGAAGAACACGTGAAATTCTCTCTGCTGCCATCTAACTGCATTTTTCCTAGTTTCCTCTTCATCCCCACTCCAGTAAAAAACTATTACACATTTCTTTTCTAGGATACCAGGTCTGAAATCTTGAGTCACTACTTGATTTTAATCATGTTATTATGACAATCCAGAACATAATAGTTCTCTTCACAGGGTGCTTTGTCAACAAGGCCAAGGGACTCATCACTTTATGAAACTTCAATTGTCTCAAGTGTTAAATCTGCTATTCATGCGTGTGTAAGTGTTCGGGAATGGCATTTCAGCACCCAAAAAGGAAGACATTTATGGGCCTGATGAGGTTCACTCCCTTTCCAAGCAGCCTTCTTGAGATGTGGAGTTTACTGAAGATTTATTTTCCTACAATTGAAGCATCAGGTGTCACTCTTCAGGTGGCAAGACCAAAGTTCACTGAAGTTAATATACAAAGCCATTCTCAGACTATTTAATCTCCATCAGCAATGAAACCCTGTATTTCAGCATGCTCTCACTGGGGTTCTTTTGTTATTGATGCCCGCAATCAGGACATGCTACGTGCACTCAAAGTAACTGCTTAATGGCAGTGGTCCTCACGTCACACACAGAGCAGGGGCTTAAGTACTAGAGAATCCTGATGCTTAATACTAGGATGAGCATTTCTTAGGAAGACCTGCCCTTAATTATTAGTGCACATTCATTCTGTGCTCTCTAGGTTTCGAAAGGCTCCCCCAACCTTGGAAAAGGAGGCATTGGGCTATTTTTCTCTTACAGCTTCCCAGCTGACGTGGCACACACAGGCAGGACAGGGTGTGCTCTGATCTCAACCAGAGTTACATCTGCTGAAAAACAAACATGACTCTAGCTCTTGGTTACCCGGACTCACCCCTGGAGTCCTAAGGGCGGTCCCTGGGCTCCATGATCAGCTCTGATGAGAAGCATCTGTTGTGTCGATTAACAGTAAACATGAGTACTTTAAGTTTGGGTTACAAACGCCTTGTTGATACTATTACCAAAACATAGGACACTGATATTAATGGACTCTAATTTTCAGTGTCAGTAGGGTAGGATTTCTGTGTTAAGATGAATAACAAAAAAAAAAAAAGAAAAGATAATCAAGTTAGAGTATTGAAGGCAAAAATCAGATCAGTAACTCTTCGGGACAATTCCTTAGGATGTGATAAAAAAAGACTTGGACATTAATTATGGAAGGTCCTATACAGAGACTAACAGACCTTTTGCTTGTCTGGAATATCAGGACTCATTTTAGAAAGGAAAGATCCTATTGAAACATCCTCTGAAGCTTTACTGAACTGGGGAAGGTTTGGAATTATTTTTCCACCCTCTCCATCAACAACATGTTCCTTGCCTGGGAAGTTTCCATTCTGCTAGGGTCACTGTCCCACAAGGGTACAGTTCTGAGATGTGAAAGCTTTTGAAGTCTCACAGGGGAACACAAAATGATTCAAGACCATAGGCCCTATGTGGCAGGGTTCAGTGACTAGGGGTTACTCTGTGTGCAGTAAAAGATCACGTTGTTGTGTACCATAGAGTCAGAAACTACCCATAGCTGACCCTCCAGGGGGTTTTCAGAGACAGTTAATCACACGGGAGAAGATTACCCACCCTTCTCCCATGGAGCTGCTGGTGGCCTGGAACTGCATGCCTTCGGGACTGCAGCACAGCTTCTTACCACCAGGCCACCATGGTGGGGGTTGGGGGGAAGATCATAGTGATGTATAAAAGACTCTCCCATGGAGAGTGAGCAGGGTGGCAGCCAACTCTCTATGGTTCTGCCCCAGTTGCCTCAAGACAATTTTGTTCTCTCAGGAGCTCAAGTTCAATGCCTCAGGCCTATCTTCTTTCTTGCTTTGATCTATCTTTACTTTCTCATCCTATTAAGCATGAAAATGCATTTAAGGCTGCATGTGGTTCATATCCACCAGTTGTTCCTGGGAAGAAGGATGGGAAATCTCCTCTTGTGCAATTTATTGCTTCTTTTGAACTCTCTGGAGGATCAGCAATGAGTTGATCTTGACTTGACAACATGCACCAACAACAACTAAAAGGGATCTTGGGAGGCTTAGTAGTAAGGAGCTATGCTGTCAGCCCAAAGGTAGATGGTTTGAGTTCACCAGCTGCTTCACAAGAGAAAGAGAGCAACCTTCTCTTGTGTGACTTACTGCTTCTGAAAACCCACCAGAGGGTCAGCTGTGGATCAGTTCCAACTGGATAGTGTTGAGAACAACAAGAAATCTACCACCAGGAGAGGATAAAATAGACGAATGGGACCTTCTAAGAATCAAATCCCGATGTACGTCCAAAAACAGGGTAAAAAGGTATATCACAGACTGGGGAAAAAATATTTGGTAATGACACGTCAGATAAGGGACTTATCTCTAGAGTTTATAAAATACTCGAGCACCACAACAAGATAAAGGTAAACAATCCAGCTGAAAAATGGGCACAGGATATGAACAGACACTTCACCAAAGAAGACATTCAGATGGCCAATAAGCACCTGAAGAAATGTTCAAAATCCCTAGCTCTAAGAGAGATGCACATCAAAATAACTACACCCTAGTCAGAATAGCAAAATTTAACAGAGCAGCAAACAACAAATGCTGGCAAGGTTGTGGAGAAACTGGAACCCTTATTCACTGCTGGTGGGAGTGTAAAATGGTGCAAGCACTGTAGAAAGTGGTATGGCGCTTGCTCAAAAAGTTGCAAATAGAGATACCATTTGACCCAGCAATTCCACTACTGGAAATATACCCCAAAGAGACCATAACTGACATCCAAGCAGATATACGCACACCCATGTTTATTGCGGCTTTGTTCACAATAGCAAGGAGTTGAAAACAACCTAAGTGCCCATCAACAAATGAATGGATAGAGAAGCTGTGGTATATTCACACAATGGAATACTATGCTGCATTGAAAAACAAGGAACTAATGCAATATTATTCAAAATAGGTGACCTTGGAGGACTTTATGCTAAGTGAAGTATTTCAGCCACAAAAGGACAAATACTGCATAATGCCACTGTTGTAAAACGGGAGTGACATCAGGGTTGGGGGGAGACTGAGAAAGATGGATTATATAATGTATACTGCATTGAAACAGATGAGGGAGAAAACTGTTTAAAACGGATATGTTATTAGGTAATATTGTCATGACAGGAGTCCAGAACAAAAGCTGCATAGTGGAGTGCACCTGGTGGGGAGGGATTGTAAAACAATGAAAGAATTTTTCTTTTACTTTTCAAAGAGAAGAGTGAACTGGGGTGGGGAGGGGTAGGCAGGGAGAAAAGTACAACAGTGAATGAATGGAAATCCAAAGTGTCTGTAAATTTTCATTAAAATTAACAATAAAAAAAATTGAGAGAAAAAAAAAGTCATCCTCAGAAATCCTAGGAGAAACCTGGTTTCACCCTCTCCAAGAGAGACCTATTTGTTTTCTTGGAAGTCCATAGTATTGTTGACTGGATTTATTGCCTCTGAAAGCCTGCTGGGAGGTCAGCCATGAATCAGTTCCAACTTTATAGCACATAACAACAATAACAACAACAACAAAGTTACTAAAAGATAGAGATGATACAGTACTCTGGATGAACAATTGTTTTAATTTCTTTATTTGCAACTCTAAACAGTGTCTGAAGGTCACTGGGGAAGAAAAGAGATGATTGTGACTGTTCCTTTTTTCTGACTTCTCTACAGCCAGGATGAACTTCATTATTTTTATTGTTACTTTTCCCACTGTTTGTAATGTAACTGATGATGCCAATTGGCTTTATAGGCCCCGTGATTTCAGTGGTTTCAAAAGACTCACCTCTTCTGAAGCAGTGATCAAAGCTGGTTAGAGAGTTTTTGCTACACATCACTACAAACACTTGTTCAAGGCATCAGCTGCTGATGCTTTCTGTTTCTCCTAGACAAACAGCCAGTGGGGACAGTTCACATCCATCTACCTTGAAATTTCATTATGGTTTTAAATGAGTAAACTCATGGTGAAGTGGGATGTCATGGTGCTAAAGTACCAGCTGGTAGGCTTCCACATTCTGAAATTGTGGGTCCAGTGAGACTCTAGTGATTCCTACCTATTTTTAAGGTTAGTGTTCTGAGTCATTTGGAGATTCTTTGTAATTGCCAATTAAAAAAACACACACACACAAAAAAAAAAACCCCGACGACGACGACTCTGGAGCAGCTTGAACTAGGTATTACTTCGGGACATCAATTTCCCCCTGCCCTGGGTTTTCTCTTTGGCTACCTTTCACTTGGGGTCAGGGAGGCTAACTTCGTGTGTTTACACAATGACAGAATTGCTTTCCTCTAGGAAGTAGAAACTTTGGAAAGATGAGTGGGGTTAACTGGCTGAGCATATATGGACCCTTATGGGCAGAAGCAAATCTTTCCCATAAAAAGGTGAGTAACTATTTTTAGGCATAAGAATAAACTGTTAAGTCTCTAATACTTATATTCAGCAGTAGCCCCTGAAACACTTAAAATTCACTCTAGCTGGTAACCTTTAGCTGCTGGCCTCTCTGATGCCATTTGTCTTCAAGATCGATGGCAGCGTTTTCACTCTCTTTGGCATTCTCAATAGGCATTTTGTCAGTTACTGTGATGGGATAGGAGATCTAAGAGGGTAAAACATATATAGCATGTTAACTGTATTCATTTTGGTCTTAAGAGCCTTGGGGCTCAAGTCTATGTACTTTAGAACGAGTTCCTACAGGGCTACTTTATTTTCAGTTAATTTCAAGGATTCATTTCTTTGGTCCTCAGGGACCTAGATTGTTCCTAAGGAAAATGGGAATAAAGTGTTTTCCCCTGCATGCATGATGTGAGAATTGGAGCACTGAGGTTAAACTAATATTTACTTTAAAGCCTTAGCAGACTCAACCTCAAAAGAGTCCTCTGAATGGAATGCTGAAACTAGCAATTGAGTGTTTCAGCAAAGACATGAAGAAACGACAGCATTCTATCCAGGATGCTACCAACCATGGCAATGATATTTAATAAGCACTGAATGCTTACGGTGTGCCAGTAGCTGTTCTGAGTACATCACAATTAGCCTATTAGTTAGCCTGATATACTATTTTTATGTTTTCCTTGCAAATGAGGAAACTGAGTTCTGGAGAGGTTCGGCAACTCACGGAAGGATCAGCAGTTCTTAAACAGAGCAGCCACATAGTCTGACCACAGAGCCTGAATGTTGAACAATTGTACTAAACTAACTCACTTGTTAGAAATATTCTTATCTTTGAATGCTAAGCATGTAGTTTGTTGTTGTGAAGTACCGTCAAGTCAAGCATGACTTACAGTGACCCTGTGAAGAAAAGATCTGAACCCTGTTATAACCTGTACCATACTCACACTTTGACACACAACAGCCCTTTGCAGCAGTCACCATATCAATCCACCTGGTTGAGGGTCTTTCTCTCCTTCTCTAATCCTCCACCCTTCACAACATTATGTTCTTCTCCAAGGAAAAGCACCTTCTAGCAACTTGTCCAAAGTATGTGAGGGGAGAAGCCTCATCATTCTTGCCTCCAAAGAGTACTCCAGCTGCACCCTCTCCCAGGCATATCTGTTCATTCTCTTGGCAGTCCATGGGATATTCAGTGCTGTTCTCCAACAGTACAGCCCAAAGGCATCAACTCTTTTTCTGTCATCCTTATTCATTATCCAGCTCTTGGATGTATAGCTATTAATTGGAATGACTATGGCCTGAATCAGAAGCACCATAGTCCTCAAACTGACATCACCACTCCTCAGTAATTTGGAAAGGTCCCTAACTGCAGATTTTCCCAGTATAACGTGTTTCCTTATTTCCTGACAGCTTGTATCAAGGGTATTACCTGTGGATCCAAGCAAGATGAAGCTGTTGACAATCTCTTCTCTATCCTTCATGACATGGCATATTGGTCCAGTGGTAAAAATCTTTGTTTTCTTGATATTGAGACACAATCTATATGGAAGGCTGCATTCTTTGATCTTCTGCAACAAGTGCTTCAAGTCCTCACTTTCAGCAAGTAAGATTTTTGTCAATCTGCATAATGCATAATACTGATGAGTCTCCCTTCAATCCTGATGCCACACTCCTTTTCATAGAGTCCAGCTTCTCAGATAATTTACTCATCATATAGTTTGAACAGGTATGGAGACAGAATTACAACCCTGACGCACTCTCTTACCAATTTCAAACCATGCAATGCTCTCCTGCTCCATTCACACAACAGCCTTCTGATCCAGGTTTAGGTTCTGCATGAGCACAATCAAGTGCTCTGGGATTCTCATTCTTCTCAATGTCAGCCACAACTTATTATGATACACACAAACGCCTTTGCATAGTCAATAAAGCACAGATAGACATTCTTCTGGTATTCCTTACTTTCAGCCAGGATCCATCTGACATCAGCAATGATACCCTGGTGCCATGGCTTCTTCTAAAGCCCATTTGAACTTCTTAAATTTCCTTATCTATGTACTGTAACAGCTATTTTGAAATGAAATTCAGCAGTATTTTGCTTGTATGTAATATAAATTATATTGTTTGATCATTTCTACACTCAGTTGGATCACCTTTCTTAGGAATGGGAACAAATATGGATCTCTTCTAATCCATTGGTCAGATAGCCATCCTCCAAATTTCCTGGCACATGTGAGTATGTGGTTTAGGTAATCAGTAATTTGAATTATGTAGATCAGTGGGCTATCAACTCTGCTCATTCGAATAATATGGGAAGTTTTGAAAAAAAAATGCCCTGATGCTACCTTAGATATCAGTATACACTGTGGCCCCCGCCCCCGCCCCTGCACCTCCAAACCAAACCAAGTGCATCAAATTGACTTCAGGCACCTGGAATCTGCAGTCAGGTTTGTGAACAGCCTGTGAAGGCAGAGATATGGGATTTAGGGCCCCAGATTAGTCAAGAGCCTCTTGATGCTTCCATTGGCGACTTGTATTAAATAAAGAAATAAGACAATTCCTAGGATGTGTGGAATTCTAGTCACCAGGTCCAGAAAGCAAAGTTAAAGTTGCAGAATTTCAAGGCTCAGGCTGCTATCCATAACACTTCTATGCCACCTCTGCTTGATGCTGATCTGTTATCTAAGACATGGGCCCTTTCCTGATGAGAGTTACCTGTCAGTCCTAGAATGTTTAAAGATCTTCTGTTAGTTGAAGGGGAGACAAGAATGAGGCTTGTAAACATTTCCTTTCTGTAGGACAGTCGGTCCTTTCAGGCCTCTGATGAAGTAAAATACCAGGTATTTTAATCTGTTTCATGGCTAAACATATCCCATCACTGACCACCTAAACTTGAAGAAATGTTTCCTTATATGAGCAGAAATAAAACTTGCTGCAACTTTCAGCTCTCTGCAGCTGGAACAATATAGAGTAAGCCCATCCCTTTTCCAGATAACAGCCTTAAACTCCTAGAAGCTGACAAGACTTCTCACTTAATCCTTGTCTTATTTGAGTAATTAATGTTTTATTTAAGAAGACCTTCTCTAATTTCTTTGATGTTCCTCCTGTGGCACTAGCCAGGTTCTGCTTGTCTGGCTGTTCTGAGATTTCTTACCTGTAAATGCCATCTTATCATGTGGGTGTGTTTAACTCTTAAAATTAGATTCAATACTTTACACTTGTTTTCTATGTATTTTGTTGGACCATGTAGTATGAGGAGCAGAGCGTTTTAACAATGGAGAGAACATGGGATTTAGAATCTCTCTGGTTTGTGTTAAATTTCTTTCTAACAGTTTACTTTGACTTTGCTCTTTAATAGACAAACATTAAACATAAGGATTGGCAAAATATTTTAAATAATAAGCAAATATTTGGCAACGATTTGACCTCATCTCTTACAACTTAATGTAGCTCCCATGGCAGAGAGAGCTCACCACCCCTACTTTTATTTCTCTTATTTTATTTATTTATTTTAGCCTTATCTTTTTCTGTCTGCCACTACCATGAAAACTGTGATCATAAATATAGACAAGGCAGATACATCATGTGGAGATGGAAATAACTGAATCAAAACTTGATCTGAAAAGGAGAAAGAACAAAAATTCATTTTTGTGCTTGAGTTACTTCACAGTAACATGAAATCATTGAACTGGGCTATGAACTACGGTACTGCGTGCTCTGGGCAGGAAGCACTTCTCACTCGTCCATTTTCTGGTCTCCCACCAGTGCTGGTTCAGGAACCACAGTGTGCACGCGTGTGTGTGTGTTATGCACCATCGAGTCTGCTGTAAATTGCATGGGAGGAGATTGTTCCTCTTCCTGCCACATAGCAGCTTGTAGCTGTGCCTGTGTGCTGACAGCACAATTCCTTACCACTGGGCCACCAGAACTCCCACCAGAAACCACTGGATTACTAAGTGTCAGGTTTTACAACAGCTGTCATCATTATTGCAAAGGTTTCCATTTCGTATTTCCATGATGGTAGAGAGATACAATTTGACTCATCTAGGAGGAAAAATGCAAGGCCCAGAGAGTAAAAATCTGCATGGGCTGCCTAAGCAGGTGAAGAATAATCCTTCTGACCTTTAAGTGGTGATGGCTCCAAAATATTGGGGAGAAAGAAAATTGCAGCTCTGTCATAGGCCTGCCCCGGGGAGGTTTGAATCTGACTTTTATAAAAGCTGAGTGAAATATACAGGACTTGGTTTAGTTAATTCAGCTTTTCATGGTGATATTATCTGACTGCAGATGATGGATGCTTTCATAAAAAATTCATAAATTTAACACACCATCCTGTGTGTTTTTTGAGTCCACGAGTCTCAAATGGATTGCACTTGACTAACGCTGACAACCCAAAGACACGTGGTTCAAATTCACCAGCTGCTTTGAAGGAGAAAGATGAGCAGTCTCTGATAATCTGCCAAAGGGGCAGTTACAAGTTGGTTTCACCTTGACAGCACACACAACACCATAAATGTTGTTTATGTGGGTTTGAACCCACAGAGTAGTGTCCTAGACAACAGCCTGGTGATTTGCTTCAGATTGGCAAAGGTTACAGGAAGGAAAGTCAGGGAACGCAGCTTTTTGCTGTTAACCGTGGAGGTAGCCATGAGTCAGGAGCAGACTGGAAGACAGCTAACGCCAGTGCTGGCTCTGCCCAGGAAAGCAGGATTTACAATGTTCCATGCACAGGCTATTTTGGTGGCACTCAGTGGCTGAATCACCCCAGGGAGAGTCTCAGAGCAAGTAAAGCATACTTCTACATTATCTCTTTGAAAGTGGAATGGGACACAACCTCTGTCAGCTATTTGTGTGTATGTGTGTGTGCGACCCATTCTATTAATACCAATCAAATTGAGAAAATGATCAAATGAAATTGCATTTTGAGCATCATAAGCTGTGTAATGTCCATTCTGTTAAATTGGGGCCTATAATTGCTTCTCTACTGAAAAGATACAACAAAGACAGCAATCATGGCATGTCATTATGCCAGACTAGAAAACCGGCCTGAGCTGGGAAGACTTCAAAGGCTTGTGGTTCTCGAATTGCATTTGGCTGCTATTGTTGGAGCGCAGGCAATCTTGATGAGGTGTTTACACTGAGGTAAGGCGCAGAGCAGAGAGTCTGAGTGCTTGGGTCTAGAGCCATTAAAAAATTGTACATTAT